GCCCCAGCCATTCCTATATAGGATCTGAACCCGCGGCGGGAGCGTCCCTGCGCTCCCAGCGCTGCAGTCTCCCGAGTGCGCCACGGGATCGGTCCTTCATGTCTTCCTTGTTACCCATCCTAGAAATCTTGCTAAAATCTACAAGGTTTCTCTGTTCCTGCCATGAGTATTGGTCATTTTAAATATTTTATTTCTTGTACTCCCTGTGGTTTTATACAAATTATCTTCTGTAATAAAAACTGATAATCATGGGACTTTAATTGATCCACTTATACTTTAATTAAGATGTTTGCATTTTATTGAAAAGCATCAGTAGAAAGGTAACAAATAGTTCATTCTTCTTTTATTTGTGTATACCAATGATGTTTTCATTGTTTTCCAGGAAGTGTGAATAACATGAATTAGAGGGACACATACTATTATTTGTTTCAATTTTTCTCTCAGGCAGCTATTCTTCTTTCAGTTTTTCTATATCAATTCTTTGCAAAAAACAGCTAGCTGATTCTAAAATTCATGTTGATATTTAAGGGATCTACTGTATCCAAAATAATCTTGAAATAAAAAAGAAAGAAAGTTGGGAGACTCAAAATTCTCAATTTTAAAATTTACTACAAACCTACAGGAATCAAGACAAAGATATAGCTCAGTGGAAGAGAATTGATAGTCCAGCATAAACCCTCACATTTACTATCAATTGTTTTTTACAGGGGTTCCAAGACAATTAAATGGAAAAGAACAGTCTTATCAACAAAGGTTGCTAGGATGCTGGGATTTACACACNGGATTATGGAAGCTGGAAGTCCCACGGTCTGCCATCTGCAAGCTGGAGACCCAGGAAAGCCGTTGGCATAATTCAGTCTGAGTCCAAAGCCTGAGAACCAGGGGAGCTGATGATCCCAGTTTGAGGGCAGGAGACAATGAGATGAGATGTCCCAGCTCAAATGGTGAGGCAGGAAAATAGGGGCAAATTACTCCTTTCTCTGACTTTGGTTCTACTCAGGCCCTCCACAGATAGAATGATGCCCACTGTAAAGCTAGGGCTTACAGACTCCTCGGGTCTGTTGCACCAATCGGGTTACAAACCCTCCACACGCAGGTCTGTGAGCTAGGTAATAGCAAAAAAAAGGTTCTGGGAGCCGTGGGTATAGAAAAATGAATGGGTTTTATTCAGATCTA